TGCTATTTATAGTAATGTTAAGATATATAAGAACTAATAGATATAATAGATATAATATATATAATAGATATAGTAGATTTAATAGAAATAATAGATCTGTTAGAAATGATAGATCTAATAGAAATGTAATATCTATAATATCTGTAAGATCTATAAGATTTGTAAGAAATATAAGATTTCTGGCACAGTAATTTGAGCCAATCAGAATCAAGTTATATATATTAGAATTAGTGCTTTTCATCGAAATCATTCTGATCTTGTGATCCTGTGATTAGAATTATATGATCTTGTACTTATTAGAATTATCTCAATAAGCTGAATCCATTAGTGGTTGTGTTATTTAAATTGGTTTAGTATATCAAAAGTTATGGTCAAAAATGTATAAAACTTTTAATATTAACAGTAGAGCTTTTTTTAGAGTTCTTAGTCTTAAAAGAAACTATGCAATGAGTTCTATATGGATTTTACATCTCTCAAGATATTGTTCAGCTGTAATTAACTTATATTGCTATCTTGTTCATAGAGAATATTGATATTTAGTCAGTTGATAATTAAGCCATACTTGATATAGACTATGTATTGTTTCACTTTTCATATTTAATAGTAAATCTTTATTGCTTTGGTCATATCCATCATGCAACATTCAAGCCAAATAAAAAAAGATTAAATGGATGATGTGTCTTGAAAAATTCAGTGCCTGTAGGAAGTTTACCAAAGGCTGTTTCTTCAAAATTATTTAAAATTAAGTGTAATATATGCAATCCACAAGAAATTCAGATACAATTACTTTTTGCCAAGATATTAAATTTTGTTACACCACCTCTAATATAACCATTCATATAATTTGTATTGTCAGAAAGAAAGGTAAAACATCGTGAAGTATCAAGATTATATTTAGTACAGGATTCAATAAGGGCTTGACTAACTGTGCTAGAATTACAGCATCAAAGATTTTTTGTTTCTAAAAGTATAACATTTGACATATTTTTTGCTAAATTCCAAAACATGAAACAATTTACTAATATATTTTTTTTATCCCAATCTGACTCATCTGTTATGATTCTGAATATGAAATAAGTTGACTGATTAGCCTGATAAAATATATTTTGATCATGTAATTTTGATACTTTATGATACTAATGGCTAACAGTTGTAACAGAAATCCAAGATTGTTCATTGTCTCCTATTAAAAAATTAAAAATAGTCTTTATACTAGCTATCATAGAAGTCAAGAACATTTGGCTGATTTGAGAAACTTTCATCATAAGCTTAATAAAATCTGTGTTATATTCTTTTTTATTTCATTTGATTAAATTTTAAATCACAGTTTTTATATCTTTGTCTTTTAATTCTGGTAGACATCTAACTACTGCACAAATCTAAGATATATGTTGTTGATATTTGTGTCTAAATTGTATAAGAAAACTATTGAGCTGTTGAACTTTATGAGTTATATGATCTTTAGATCATTGTAATTTTTGAATATCTTGCTTAAGTTGTTTATTTTGATGATTTAATTCATCTAATGATTTTCCAGATTTGTAAAGAGATTTTGATATATATTCAAATGTTTTATTTTGTATGTAAAAAGATATAATATGGTCTTTATTTTTTCTGTATAGATATCTTATTGTGCATAGAAGATAAGATATAGATTGGAGATCTTTTTTTGACATGTCTTTAAGAGAATCAATAATCATATTATATATTTTTGAAGAATCTGATTTATCAACATTCAAGATATCAGAGGTCATATCATCTATTGATTTAAGTTCTTTGTTAATTTTTTTTAAATTATTTGTTGATTCATTATTAACTTCTTGAAATTTATTTAATTTATACTTTTTGGCAAAAGATTCATGTGCATTTTTTAATTGAATATTACACTTTGAAGGTTTAGGCATTGTGTTAAATGTTAAAACTATAAGGTATGAAAAAAAATTTTTTTCTTAAATTATACTCTGTATACTTTTAAACTTTTATTTATATATAAACAAATTGAACAATTACACATTTTAACAAAGCATTTCTTAAAATTATAACTTTTAATTATAAATTATTAGTGATGGAACTACTGATATTAAAAGCAAGTAATGCTTAATTGTTACATTTAATAATTTATGAAGAATCAAAATTTTTTTAATGAATTACAATGTGTGACAGTTGAATTTTTAACATCTGTAGTCCCATCACTATAAATTACAAAAACCAATTTACAATAAATGTTTTCTTATTTTTTTGGTTAATACATAATGATAATAAAAATAAAATCTTAAAAAGATCAGAATTAATTACAAATGATTTTTAATGTTTTAGTTAAAACTTTTATAACAGTAACAAAAACAGAATCTTAAAAAAACTTAGTTTTGAAATTTAGTTTGAAATTTTATAACTCAATTTCTAGAACAAAAGGCCAATTTATTAAACAAACACTTGCTCACTTTTTTTAGTTAAAAATATGTAATAAGGACAAAGTGCAGATCTTAAAAAGTTTGGTGTTGAAATTAGCTTGATAAGTAATTACAAAGCCAATTCATTTAACAAATGCTTAGTTGGTTTTTTTTAGTTAAAACAATCTTGAAGGGTTTAGCATTAAAACAGCTTGAACCTCATTATCTTATCCTATATATATGATCGTAATATGATGAAAGTAAATATGGATTTTTATTCTTACAATCCTCTTGTTATTCGCCCTGGCACGTTATATTACAAATCAAAATCCGATACAGACTATCATTAAATCACTTTAAGCTAACAGGTTATCACACTATAGATTACTCTATTACCGTTACTAAATAAAGTGAATAGTAATACACCCGATGCAATGCTAAATGGTACGTACATACTTACTCATTATCAGTTACTTAAATACCTCCTTCAAAGTTACGTATTAGACTCTTACCTTCGAAACATGTGACAGGTCACATGCCTGATCAAGTAATTCGAGACAAAAATGCTTCAATCTTTAAAAATGCCCAATTAATTAGGTTGTGATTTCTTTTTATTATGTTATACAAATTGTTTGATATGAAAATTGCAAGAAAAAAATGGGTTGTACATGAAGTGAATCGATTTTTTTGAACATATAATAGTCTCCCGTCAGTTTTATTAATGCAATATTTAAAAATGCCCAATTGATTAAAAATTTTCGTTTGTAATTTCTTTAAGTTATACTATGCCAATTGTTTTCCGTAAAGGTTACTAGAAAAAAATAGGTTGTACGTGAAGTGAATCGATTTTTGAGTACTAATCTTTCGTTAATAAATAGTTGCGATCTATTTTATGCATAAAATCTAATAGTATTATTATTATTTATGCACCTCACATGATTTTGATTAATTAATATATGAAATACCCCACTGTGACATGGTATATACCTCCTTGTGCTCAAAATGTATATGACAGCATCCACAATTTATGTTAAACTAGTATTGTCATAAAGATCTTAAAGATAATACAAACATAATACTATAAGGCGTTCCCCTATTGTTATATAATACAATATACAATACAATAATAGTTTAACGTAAATTATGGACGCCACCTATACACCATTCATATCTAGTAAGATTTCAGTTAGTTAACTGGTAAATTAAAATTATTTATTAAATGGTTTTTACCATTGGCCAGTTGTTTATCTAATTTGACTTCCATGGACGTGAAGGCAAAAACACTATTACAAGCACGAATATTATTGCGAAATTCATTTCCTATTGCATCGTTTCTAGTATATAAATTCTTCAAAGACGCAACAGGTTCAGTCGAAGCTAATCTGCAATATGATTATTAGTAATGTGTTAAGTTATATAGATTCATAAACAATTTAATATAAACCTACTTAATCTTTTCTTTCATACAACATATATCTGAAAATAATTTAGCATTACAGTAAGAACAAATGCACGGAGATCCAAGAACATGACGAATAGTTGTAGCTGTTTCATAGAAATGTAGAGCGATTTTGTATGTTTTTAGTGGTTTATATTTGTTAAAGCTTGTGTTCTCCGAGATCTCTGCTTTCGAGCAGCATCAGCCAGTCTGTTATCCTTAATAGTTCGCGGGCGTAAATTGCGAAATGGTGGCATTTCGAATTATGAATAATGGAGATAAAATTTTTTTATAGGATTCACAAATCACGAAGTCACAAAGGTTGATAGACATACGATACAATTTATCACAACTTTTATGTATTTGCACCTTTTATATCGTTTTAATATTTACACATTTTAACGGTGTACTGATAATTATTATAAACCAGGATAAATCATTTTCAGCTTTATCTTTTACATTACCATTAATTTTAATATTCGTACTCCTAACTGCAAGGACCGTGTGATTACATGTTCTTAAGATTACAAACAGATGACAATCGAATTATGAAATTCATTAGCAAATTTCTGTGAATGCTGTATTCAAAACGTAACTTAAGATATTCACTTAATTCATATAGTGTATAAATTTTTTTCTGTTTTTTTTTTGTTTTTTTTTTTAATATAACATCATTAATTAGGAGATTCGTAATAATTATGTAAATCAGATAATCGTAAAAGTACGTACAAATTGATGACAATCATTGTCAATTACGCAATAATTACAACAAACTCGAGATATTAAGAATGTTGTAATAAGAAGACTTCAATTACAAAAATTCACATCAGATAGCCACGAATGTCGTAAACTTCAATTACAAAAATTCACATCACCAATTTATAGGTAACCAATCAAAAATGTTTAAACAGACAAACTCTTAATTAGATGGTTTAGATAGATAACATAATAGATTTCTTAAACAAAAATATTTCTAGTTACCTTCTTGCATGATCTAATAGACGGGATATATTTATTATATTTTGCCTTCTAAGCAAAGTTCGTCAGAAGTGAGATCTTTCTGTATAACGAATATTGACAGTGCTTTAAAGCTACAAATAGATCTTGTAATGATTTTTATTAGTGCTGTATAAAAAAAATTCTTTTATCAGCGAAACGTACGTCCTCAAAAAGTACTTTAAAGTGTATAAATAAGTTACCCGGGTAATTGATTTGCATCAGCCAATCAAACAAACTTCTGCCTATGTTAGACCAATTGTCGGATGCAAAATTATCTTATTTGCCTTTGACACCTTTTTCACCAATTTTGAGATTTTTTGATTCAATTAAAAGCGTCGGTTTCTATTTATTATATGTTTCATTTTTTGAATTTTTTAACGTTCGTGTCCTAAATATTGATTGACTGACGACTCAATTAAATTATATTGGTCAATCAGTGTTTTATAATCACATGATGTTGAACTATTATTGTATTGTATATTGTATTGTATAAAAATAGGGACTGCCATATAGATCCCTATGACAATACTAGTTTAACGTAATTGTGAATGCCGCCCCGATCCAAAACCCCTTTGTCCTCGTGACTGATGCTGATCGGCCAGAAGCAGGAGTGGGTGAAAATTTAATAAATACCGGTGTCTTATAAATTAGACGCGTTTATAACGTTAATATTTTAAATTAAAGATTTCTCAAATCAATGGTACATATATTAAAATCAGAGACAGGCTTTGAGAAATTTTAGAAAAGCGCTCGAAGCATCGTTAAATAAATTCAAAAATACAAAACCAAAAAATGATCACGTAGAAATAGCTATTGAGAAAGCTATTGAGAAAGCAATTGAAAATTTACGTGATCATTTTTGTGAGTATGAAAATTTTCCCGAAGCCTTGCCTAATAATGAATCTAAGGGTCCTAATGAAGTTGACTCTAACGAAGTTAAATCTAAGGGCCCTAATGAAGCTGTATCCAAAGTTGAAACCAAGGGCCCTGATGAAGTTGAAACCAAGGGCCCTAATGAAGTTGAAACCAAGGGCCCTAATGAAGTTGAAACAAAGGGCCCTAATGAAGTCGAATCCAAGGGCAAAAAAAGAAAAAAGTCACCCAACACAAGACATGCTAATAAAAAACGGAAGACCAAAACAGGTAGCTATGAAAAATATATATTCTACTGGATTTGCGCATTTTAACAAAAGTAGCTCATCGCTTCAATCCAATGAATCTTTAGTTGCTATTAAGATTGGTACGTCATCAATGTCAGATGACGTAACATCCAAAAAACTGATAACAAATGGTAAGTAAAAAAAAAAGTATATGAAAGGAAGTAGGGTAATTTATTTATTACGTAAAGTTAAATCACGATATATGACAATATAATATGTTATTAGTTGTGTGTATATATCAAAATTCCAAAAATTTAATGTTAATGCCAGCTACCCTGCTGTGGGACTCATAATTATTTGTTGGTGCTAAATTAAAATGGTAATTTTATTTTTTTTTAATTCAAAGCGACTGAAAACATGAGGAGTGACCTTCCGGAAATCCCTAAAATCCATGATTCGTTATTTGCAAATATGACAACAGGCTTTCATTCAGATAATGAAGCATGGGAGATTTTAGAATATTTAGAAGACAGGGTGCTTACATCTTGTTTCTAAAAATCGCCGGACCACGATACCTTCGACGTTATGCCGCAAAGGAAATAAGGATGGACGTAACGAACATAGTCACCAACAAGATTTTGGCTGCATTACTCCCTTACACTTGAGCTTTTAAAAGTAATTGCATGTCGCATCCAACAGTAAATAAGTTTCATGCAGACACCTTCGAAGCTTATTTTGGAGCCTACTATCATGCAGTGGAGGAGTTGCATACCTGTAGATATCTAGATAGTTTGATGACTCCACTGCTAGATCTTATTCTCGAAGATATCAAGTTCGGTAAAACAGACATAGGGATTCATACGAAATAGCTTCCGATGCCATGGATTCGAGATTGTAATCTTAACAAATCCAATAAGTAGGATTAAATGAATTTTTTCTTCATTAATTTGGATTCGAGATTGTAATCTTAACAGATCCAATAAGTAGGGTTAAATGATTTTTTTCTTCATTAATTTGAATTCTTAACGTTGTAGTTTATTACAGTCTTTTATTATATGCTGATTTTATAGTTTAACTTCTAAATTGTATTGTTAGGCCCAATAACGTGACGTGAATACTTTGCCGGGACCTCACGTGAGAGCGGGTATGGCGATCAATTCCTTGATATGGATATCCCGGTAATTAATCGCATTAATTCGATTAATTAAATACATCAAGGAAAGGGGATTTAATAGCGAAGGGGGATTTATTAAGTATAAGGATTTAGGTGAATAAATTAGAGAAGTCGAATTAAATAAAGAAAATAGAGGAATGAGTTTAATGTAATTAAAGAGGCCATAGTTAGAAAGATAATATAAATAAAGGCCGAAATGGCCCTCAGGGACGATATGTCTCGTTTGCTTTATTAACAAACAAGTCCCAGTACAGTGTATCGTCCATAATAAAACCCTAACACTATACCCAGTATAAACCCCGTAAACCCCTATAAACATCGTCGTTCGTTCAAGTTCTTGTTCACGTGACTTACCTACTGACCTTCGTTGAACCAAAGTAACCGAAAGCCTTAATCACCCACCAGCCAAATCTAAAACACTCTTTCGAAAGGGTTTCCTATCGTACGTTACGCGAGATTTTGTATTGTGGAGCGACCGAGTCGCAGTTTTCCGAACATAACAGTATGCAATACGGGGGTACCTTTATGTCAAGAAAATCCCGGACTGAAGATCACCTCCGACCCTATCCGGATCCAATAAAATCACAGGATCTCGTGTAACAAAACAAACGCGAAAAAAACATACGCAATTGTAAAAAATGTAAATAACACAAAAATTTACTATGGTAACTAACTTCCGACCTCTAAGTAAAAGTTTTCAGAATGAACTTTTCCTCATAGGACACAATTGTTAATGTTAGATATTTTTTTGGCTGGCAGCTCGGGATTTTCTTGACATAAGGATACCCGGACCCCCGTAAATGAAATAATTTTGAATAAATTAGTTATCATTGTACAAAAAAATTTATTGTTTTAAATAGAATCAAGATTTTTATAAGATTGTATGCACTGCCCTTACAACATCAGGATTTTACAAGATCGATTAAACAAAAATCAAGATTTTTACAAGCTTATCCATACATACATCCATATGAATTATTTTGGTTTCCGAGTTCTTTGAGAATAGTTTTTTACTAACTAAACAATTTAAATTTTTTTTTTGAGTGTCTTGAGATGATGACATAGAGTTTTGTGCTTTATAATACAAATTACATTTGTCTGCAGTAGTGATATGAGTAGGGATGTTGAATTTCAGTAATTTGTAAATTGAAATTTCATGTAATAAACATGTAACCATATGGGCCGATTTTTTTCAAAACGATCTAATTCTGGATCATTTGGCCAGAATTAGATCGTTTTGAAAAGTATGATAAAAAATCGGCCCATATGATCTGGTACTTGATGTATGACGTGACGACATACGAGCGACTTAGAAAATGTGCACCGGGTTTGTGGCGCATGCAAAATTCTTAAAATTCGTTAAGGGTAGGGTTAGTGTCAGGGTTAGGAATTAGAGGGAGGATAGGTATAGTAGTAAACTTGTCCAACGAAACCTTTTTGTTAGAGCACATAAGGTGGTTTCTTATGAGTTATAAGCGATTTTTGGCAGAGCGAACGTATGTTTTGAATCTTCTTGATCATGTTACGCTACACCTAATCTTGAAACCTGATTCGTAATTGAAAATTTTTGATGGGAATGCTGTGATGATTGAAATTAAGTGATATGTGTAATGATATATAAATATTATGCAGTTTCATGATCAACCTCATAAGCAATTTACAGTTAAGAAAGGCAATTGACCAATTGAATAAATGATTTATAATTATTATGCGGTTTCACAAATGGGTACATAAGTGATTCATAAGTGGACTAATAGTTAAGGCAAGCAATTGACCAATCAAATACAATCTTACATACAATTTGATTCACTGAAGACCAAGCATATCAATTCTATTTACCGGAGATCATGTAATATCACACAAATGATTGGATTAAATTTTATGAGATGGTATTAATTTTTAATAATCACTAAATTGAAAAAATCCGCCCGCATGAAAAATCAACATGAAATTTAATTTGAAACTTACGTAAACATAATCCTAGATATAAATCAAAAATTGATTTATCAAAAAGTTCGTAATTAATTGATTTAAAAATTTAGAATTACAGTCAACCCTCTCTAAATGCATTGTGACGAGACCATATGCAAAAATTTATTCAAATGTGCATTTAGAGAGTTATTATATTTAGGGAAGTGAACATCTATAAGTATTATATTAATTGGAGACTGCTTTTCATAGGGCATGCATTTAGGGAGGGTGCTTGTTGAATGATTATCTATTTAAACTTTAGAAAATTTTTTTTTAAGACCTAATAATACCGGATTTGTATCCAACTATATGTGTCATTAAAGATCTTACAGAAGAGTGTCTTTCGATCATTGTGCTTGCATTTGCCAGATCTTGTTTACAAAAATAAAAGCCATCGCGTGTATTAACGATTTGTTGCAAAGATACTTAGAAAGTAACTCTTTGAATGCATTGAGGTAACAATGGATAATCATGAAATTCGTTTATCGGATAGAGTATTGAAATAAGCATGACAATTTATCATGATGATTACACATTTATTACGGTTCGAATTTAAAATCAACTTATGTTGCTTTCGAGTTATCGATTATTTAAACTATCAAATTTAGAATCAACTTAAGTCACTTTTAAATTTCTTATCAATGTTGTGTATGAGTATTTATCACTTCGAAATGCTGGTTTTATATAAAAATTCCGAATCCACTTAAATTCTGTTTCCACTTACAACATCCAACTTGGGAATTCCGTACTAATCTATGTGGATTCTAAAATTTACAATCATTCTGTTACGACGTACGAATTTATATATCATGAAATTTAATTGTCAGAGCAAACCACTAGGTGTGCTACAGTACCATATAAAAAAATTTGGAATTTTTTTGAAATTAGTTATCAGATTCTTTATCATTTTATATACATTATATATAAATTTGATAGTAAAGAATCTGACCATTCTAAATTTAAAAAAAACAATTAATTTAAATATATAATTTTGATTTGTTTAGTTGACCAAATACCCCAACTAGGGTTGGGAATTATACGATGGAAGATTTATTATATCGTATAAATACGTTGGATATGATGGTATGATAACGGTATAATATCTATTATACCAAAACTGTATAATTTCAAATTCTCGGAGTACCAAAATCCAGCATTGTGACAATATCGTTATTGATGTATTAATAAATCATCTTAAACAATTTTATTTATTAGAAGCTTAAACTAATGATTACTAAACTTTAACATTTGTAATAATAATATTTGTAAAATTTTTTATTATGATACGATTTGAGCTGAGCGAACTAATTTTGTCTTTGCAACTTGAACTAAAATTGTAAAAAAATACACGTCACTCTGGTTATATCGACATCTGGTTATACCAACATCTGGTTTTAACATCTTTTTTTTTTAAAAAAAAAAAAAATTTGGACCTAGGCTATATCAAAAGAAAATTTGGTTTATGAATAATTGTACGTATGACAATGTATATGTCACGTCTGAAGTAGCGATTTATCTAAATTAGCCACTTTATATAGCTAAAGTAGCACTCTGGTTAAAAACATATATGTAGTGTAACAATTTTCTAATTTATAGTGTTAGTCAGAATTTGATTTACGTTCTACTAAACTTAAACATAAAGATGACAATAAAGCACTTAGAAAAACTTTCGACAGATTATCTTGAACTTCTTGATGATAAAGAAGGTTTTAATGTAATTATTAATGCTGGAGAATTGCCAAATACCAAAGTATTCCAAGCACATTCGAATGTTTTAAGATATAGATCACTGTATTTTCGTGATAAATTGGCAAACATTAGCAAAGATAAAAATAAGATTAAAACAATTAATCTAAACCATGTTACTATTCAACAATTTGAAATTATTATTAAGTAAGTTGCTGACTTATATTATTTTTAATACAGGTTTCGCATGCCACCTCTATCAAGAACGAACATTCTTTTAAATATTTACTAATTGATATTTATTATGTGGGTGGGTACATTATTGATAGGGGTGTACAAAATTGGTATGCGAAACCTTTAATATCAAAATACATCAAAATATGCATTAAAAAACTAATCATAAAATCTAAATATACAAATATAATAAAGATATATTTATGGAGGGGTGGTTTCATTGGAAAATCAAGAAGGATCATCAATTTTTGAACTTATGCTCATTGGTTCAGAGCTTCTTTTAGAAGAACTAGCTAAAAATTATGAAAATCATTTAATTAAAACAAAAGCTAATTGGCTTCGTTTACATTTTGAACGCATTTATCATACATGCTTCCAAGATAATCGGTTTCAAAATTTACAAACTTGGTGTAATGATTTTTTAGTAAAGTATCCAAATAAGATTTTTGACTCTGTGGATTTTGCATCACTTCAAGAAAATGCATTAGTCACTCTTATTAAACGAGATGATTTACAAATGGAAGAAATAAAAATTTGGAATTATATCATTAAGTGGGGAATCGCACAAAATCCAGGCTTATCATCAAGTGGACCAGAAAATTGGACTAGTGAAAATTTTCTAGCTTTAAAAAACATACAGTCAACTCCCTCTAAGTGCAACCCCTCTAAGTGCAACTTCTCTCTAAATGCAATTAAATAGTCTGGTCCCATGTCGGGACTTATAATATAAGTGCAAGTTCTTTATTCTCTAAGTGCAAGCTATTTTATGGCCCGACCATATTAACATCTCTCTCTATATGCAAGTCACCTGATTGGTAGCCAATCAAATCTCATGTTATATACATTATAGCATCTTATGATTTTTGTATAATTTGTACAAATGAGATCATACTATCGTGCAAACTCTTATGATTATAATTTTTTTTTTGTTATTTTTTGTATATTATTATATAAGACATACTAGCAAAAATAATTTAGTAAGATTATAAAGTAATTACCAAGTGATTTTTCAGATTATTCCCATATTTATATTAGCTTAGAAATAATTTCTGCATTTTAGTCTAACTGAATTGTTTTTTGCTTCACTAATAACTTTACTATACTATGTACAATAATTTAATTTTTATATTGTATGTACATGACTAAAATAAATAAAAAAAGAACTTTTAATAATATAATTTTTATATAATATATACACATACAAATTGGTTTATAAAACTAGCTGTACCTTAACCAAATCAAGTATTTTTAATAAATTTAGCTATATTTAGTTAGTTAATATTACTTAAAAACTTGATATATATATATACACTGTATTGAGTTTTTATTCAAGACTAATTTAATAAATCAAGTAATTAAATATTCATAGTTGTGAATATTTAAAAATAGATATGTGAAAATCTAAAGTAAACTCAGAATATTATGTACACTGTATTGATTTTTATTTATAACTAACCTAATAAATTAAGTAATTAAATATTCATAGTTGTGAATATTTAAAAATAGATATGTGAAATTCTAAAGTAAACTCAAAAGTAACTTCGAATTAGATGCTTCTAAAGAAAATAGAAAAATTGAATTAGTATACAGAAAATTATAAATATATATTATAAACTATCTTCAAGTCAATATTGATTTAAACTTTTTTTCAAATTAAATTTCTCATATTAAATTTTTAATAAACTTTTATATAATTGTTTTTATAACCTTGCTTCAATCATGCATTTTATTATTCAAAATGTTTTCTAAAACTAAACAGACAACATTAACAAATAAACAGAAATTAGAAGTCTTAAACTATAAAGACAAAAATCCTAATATTAGTAATGTTGATATTGCTAAATAGGTTAAAGAAACCTTTAGCTTAAATATTCATTTATCAACAGTTGGACATATATTAAAACAGAATAATAATACCTTTGAAGAAATGCATACTATAAAAAGATCAAGAGCTGTTACATATCCTGAGTTTGATGATGCATTACATGAATGGGTTTTGCAAAATCAAGCTTATTTAATATTAAGCGATGCTATTTTAACAGAAAAAGCAAAAGCTTTTGCAAATTTACTTAACATACCAGAAGGTCAACTTAAATTTTCATCAGATTGGCTCTCAAGATTTAAAAAACGGCATGGAATTGCAAAGATAAAATTGCATAGAGAAGATGCTTCAGTAGACGTTGATGCTGCAGCTGCAGCTATTTCAAAATTAAACAGATTACTAGAACAATATCATCTACAAGACATATATAATATGGATAAGACCACATTATTTTATCAGTAAGATATAATTTATTTTTAAATTATAATTAATAAATATTAATGATGTAATATATATATATTTTAATTTTATATATAGACTTGAACCAGATACAATATTAGCAACAATGTGTCTAAGTGGAAAAAAAAAAATAAGAAAAGATTAACTTTTGTACTATGTGCAAATGCTAGTGGAACTGATAAGCTTGAACCATTTGTAATTGAAAAATATAAAAATTCTTGATGCTTCAAAAATGTAAACAGAAGAAGTCTTGGAGTAAAGTATGAAGCCAACATTAAAGCATGGATAACTGTATGTATATTTCAACGGTAGCTAAAAGCATTTGACCAGAGAATGGAAGGATGCAAAGTTATTCTTTTACTAGATGGTTCAAAAACTCATAGTACTGCAGGTTTAAATCTTCAAAATACAATTGTATATATCTTACCTCCATATACCACCTTCAGAATCCAGCCAATGGATGCTAGAATTATCATGTTATTTAAATGTCATTATCGTTCTTTGTTTATTAAATGGTTTTTAGATCAATATGAAGATGAAAGTAGTGAAAATAATCAAAATATGCTTTCTGCTACACAATTTATTGTAAGTGCTTGGAATGATGTAACTACAAGAACAATTTTTAATTGTTTTTGTCATACAAAGATCCTTCTTGTTACAGCAGAAACAAATACTTATGATGATAATGTAGATAATGATACAGATAATGAATTAATAAATGAGCTTTATATAGATATTAAGGCTCTTCATTTTCGAAATGAAATGGATATTGACAGCTATATTGATTATTCTGAAGAAAATATGTCTGAAGCAATACTTAATGATTAAGAAATAGTAGATCTTACAAGACATTTAGATGATTATATTAATACTGAAGAACCAGATGATAGTATAGAAATATGCCAATTTATACATCATAAAGCATTAGATGCATTAGATACTGTTAATCAATATCTTCTACAACAAAATGACAACATGATCAAATATATTAATGCAATTTCAAAAATTATCAAGAAAGTGAGAAGTTTCTGAATTGGCACACTATGACAAACCATCTTTGATTCATTTTTTGCTTCAAGTTCTGTTAATGAAAATGAATTTGAATATAATTTAATCGAAGCTGACATGTTTGAAGATACTGAAACTGAAGATTTTGAATCAGATGTAAGTGAAAATAATGACTAATAAATAGCTAACTTTTTTAGTTCCAGCTATGAAAACTTCTTGCTTAGTATAAAATTAAAATATAAAATAAATAAAAAAAAATGTAAAAAATAAATAAATAAATAAAAATTATAAATATATAAAATATAAAAAAATAATAAAAATAAAAAATAATAAAAAAAATAACTTAGCATTTAGTTAGTAGATTTGTTAAAAACAGAAAATTTATTATATGGTTTAGATTAAATAGGATAAATTCATAGTTATATATTTTTACTTAAATAGGATATTAAAAAATAATTCATAGTTGGAAAACTATCTTGTAATTTGAATAAGCAAAAAAAATAAAGTTAGCAAATCGATTAAAAAAATAAGTAAAAAAAATAAAGTTAGCTAATCAATTAAAAAAATTAAAAGATTAAATGATTAATTTTATATGAGTAATATGAATAGTAGTAGAGTATGGTTTAGTAAAGTAGTGGAGTATAATATGTTGAATTAGCAAACATGTGTGTATAGTTGATAAGGTTACTATTATGTGTAAATAAGAGCCCAAAACTCAATTTTTAAAAAATAATTACAAATAAGTTCCCAAATATATAGTTAGCTAAAAAAGCCAGTTTAAACATAATAGTGTCACAACATTTTAGAATTTGTTATGTTGAATTTATTAAAAAATAACTAAACTGCATTTCTAGCACAATTTAAATGTTACTACGCAAGCCTAATTACATGTTATAGAAACTATTTAATATTAAATAATATATATATACTATTATCTATTTCTAGGTCTGCATGTATGTGAATTATAACCTTTTTATTACATTTTCCACAAGTAACCTGATTTTCTAGTGCCGTTTCTCTATGACTATGCAACTGAATTTTTTATAGCCTTCCTGCTTGTATAATTGTAGGTGGTGACAAAGTTTCATTATCAAGAATACATAATTCTGCATCAACTGATTAATGATTCTATAAAAGTTTAACAAGCTGGATTATGAAGAATCAACTTTATTATATAAATAAACCCATCTTTGTGCTTCTTAGCTGAAGCAGTAAAGGAGCATGAACTATTTTCATTTGTAGAAATTTGACGAAATAACTTTTTAAGACTGAGCAAATATTTTTCATATTAGTAAAAGTATTGCTGATTTGTAATATGACTAACATGGTAATTTTAAGTAGGTTTTTTTAAAGATATGTTTAGTAAATTGTATGGATTAATGGATTAGAAGAAGTACGTACATTTTTTATTATGTATTTGAATTCATATTTATTAAATTACTTATGTGCTTGATAATTAATAACTATATTACACATCACATTTGAGTCATTGATCGACAGAACTTAATTATGAGTATTTGAGTCATAGGCAAACATTTGTATGATTGGCTATTTAAATCAATTTAATTTTACAATATTTATACAGTTTAAAGTATTTTTAAAAAAAGAAAACTACAAAGATTAAACAAAAAAGAAGGATATAGAAAGGTTTATTATGGTTGTAGGACTCCACTATTAAAAATAATCAAAATTCTTTTTTGTTTTAGAGAATTAGCATAATAACGACTTCTTTAAAATTAGGTTATCACCATGTTAACTTCTCTAAAACAAAAAAAAATTTTGATTATTTTTAATAGTAGAGTTCTACAACCCTAATAAAACTTCTTTTTTGTTTATTCTTCTTTGTTTATTTGTAGTAGTCTTCTTTTTTTAAAAAAGCACTTTAAACTATAAAAATAATGTAAAATTAAATTGATTTAAACAGCCAATTATACAAATGTCTGCCTATGAGTATTTGAGCACAAAAGTTTCTTTGTAATAATTTTAAAAAATTGGGTTTCTATTTGTAATTATTTTTATTTTGGGCCCTTATTTGTAGTTTTAGGCCCTTATTTGAAATTTCTCCATTAATATATCATAATAGTATGCAAATGTATACAAAATTTATGCCTTTTAAACTTATAATATCAGGTTTAATTTTTATAAAATTTGATATTTAGAGTTTAAAATATTTGTTTGATAGTTTAAAAGTCTGAAGTCATATGCAATTTTTGTAGCATACTCCACTACTTTACTAAACCATACTCTACTACTATTTGTAATACCGATTTTATATATAGTAGCTATATATATACATATATATATATATATATATACATATGTATATATGTATGTATCTATGTACATTAAATTAATATCAATATCAGATATTCAATCAAAGTATATTGATTTGTATATATACCAAAATTGACCAATCATAAGCATTAATATGTATTATGTGCTAAAATGGTTGATTTTGAATATTTTTCTCTAAATGCAACTTCTCTCTATATGCAAGGCAATCTATTGGTCCCGACAAGTTGCACTTAGAGGAAGTTGACTGTATATTGTTTTGCTAAGAAGTTTGTGAAATTGTTGAAAGGATTATCAGTATGGGCTTGAACTTTGTAAAAAATAATTTAAAGGTTAAAGAATTTTATAATATTAAGTAAGATATGCTATAAGGGCCATATACTAAATTTAAATAGCTTGTTAGAGTTTTGTAATTGGTTTAATAGTGTATAAAATTTTGAAATAACAGATTGTGAGTTTGTGTAGATGCTAATAGATGAATTGTAGGGTATAGTAGATATTGCAGATAGAATTAAGACTAATTCAGCTTTATAGGATGATGGTCATAAACAGTCTTGGGCTGAAAATTTATAGATAATTTGATTTTGTTTATTGATTTGAACTCATCCAATGCCAATAGAACATTGTTCTGATCCAATATTAATAATATAACCATTAGTATAAAAAGTAAAGTTATTATTTGTAAAATTAGATAGATAAATGTCTTAAAGCTCATAAGTGCAGCTGTTTGGTTTAAAGATTTCTAAAATGCTAGAGTTATGTATGATGATATTGGGAGATATAGAAGGTATATATAAAGGATGTTTAATAGCTGTTGAGTATATAAGCTCAATGTAATTGGCATTGAGTTTAAGATTGTTGGAGGTTTTTCTAGCTAGAAATGTTGCAGAAATAATTGCCAATGTGTTAATAGTACATGTTTGGTTAATTTTATTTAAATTAAGATAGTATCTTATACATAGTTTGCATTTAATAAGTGGGAGTGAGTAATATTGATCATGATCTAAATTAATATTAAATTTCTAATTTATAATCAAGAATAAATTAGAGACAAGAATATATTTGTGAATTTTGCCAATAATAATTTTTTTTTTATTGGAATGATAAGTAAGAAACCAAGGTTTTTGTTTTTTGATAATAGAATATGTATTGTATGCAAAAAGGTTGGTACCAGGTAATTGAAAATGAGGTAAAATACTTCTGTAATATTTGTTTGATATAATTTTGTTTTCAAGAAAGATAAATCATAAAGGTTGTTTTCCTTTTGTTAGTTGGTGTAGTCTTGGTGAAAGATGTTGCCATTTAAGTAAAGTACTGCTATTAGCAGTACATAGTTGCTCTAAATAAAGGATATTAAGTTTTCTTAATTGTTTTTTAAAGGTAATGTATTTTGGATGTTGTATAAGTATAAGTTCAATTAGTTGGAATGCATTGTATATAGTATTTGGTCATAATATATTGTAATAAGCAGAGATTATAATATTGAGATGTTGAAACAACTAAATAATTTTAAAATTAAGAGTACGTTTGTTGTATCTATCAATAATAGATTAATTATGTTGAAGGATATTAGTAGTAGACAAGAGATTATTTTGAAGTTGTTGCAGTCTAATTTTAGTTATTGTGCCAAGAATATTAGAATTATTAATCTGTTGTTGAAAATTAGTAATATGATGTTGCAGTTGGATGTCTCAAATGTTAAGAATATTGTATAAATATAGGTTGAGCATAGAGCTATTAGGAAAGAATCTGGATAAGTTAGATTTATGTTTAGTTATAATAAGGTATTTGGCTAATATGCTATTGCATACCTTATGAAAAAAAATATATTGAAATTATTGTGAATTAATACTTAAATTTTTCAGTATAAAATTCTATATAAAATTATATGGAATTGACTGCAAATTCCATGTCACTTAATACAGAATATTTATACGAAAACTTTTTTATTAATAATTTAAATATTATATATTTTATTAAGTTTTATATATAATAAATATAATTAAAGATAAGTT